TTCTTTGAGGCCAGTATTACCATAAAACCAAAGTCAGAGAAGACATCAGACCAATATCCCTTATAAATAGTCATGCAAATTCTCAGTCAAATACTAACAAATTTCATTGAACAGCACATTAAAATGATCATATACAATGACTCTAGGACAAAAAGGATGGTGCAACATACTAAAATCAATCAGTAATATACCATAATTAAGAAATAAAAATCACACCATCATCTCAACAGATGCAGAAAAAAACATTAAAAAAAATTGAACATACTTTCAGAATACAAGCAGACATCAGACTATTATAGTTACATCAACATAATGAAGGCTACATATAAAAAGCCCAATTATTTGCAATAAAAAAAAAACCTGAAATTTTTTCTCTAAATCTAGAAACAGGACAAGGTTGCCCATTCTTTACACTAGTGTTCAATACAATACTGAAATTCCTAGCTAGATAAATAAGGCAAGAAAAAAGAAAAGATACCCAAATATGAAAGAAGTAAAATAATATCTAATTGCAGATGATAAGATCTTATGTGTAGCAAATCTAAAAGACTCCACCAAAAACTGTCAGAAATAATAGAACTAATAAATGAAAGAAAAAAAAATCAGTACACTAAATCCAATGTGTTCCCATACACTAACAGCAAACAATATAAAAAGAAAATAAATAATCTCATTTATCATAGCTTTAAAAAGAATGAAATGCTTAGAAATCAACTTAACTAAAGAGGTAAAAGACTTATACACTGGAAACTACAAGTCATTGATAAAATAAATGAAAGAGGGTACAAATAAATAAAAAGACAGTTCATGGACTGAAGATTTAATATTTTTGACATGTCTATACTACCCAAGCAATCTTATAGATTCAGTGCAATCCCTGTTAAAATCCCATTGGCATTATTCAGAAATAGAAAAAAAATCAGCTCTAAAATTCATTTAGAATCACAAATGACCCTAAATAGTCAAAAACAGTTTTGAAAAAGAATAACAGAGCTGGATCCATCATGTTTTGTGATATCAAAACATATTACAATAATTAAAACAGTATGACATTGGCATAAAGAGTGATATATAGAGCAATGGAACAGAATAGAAAAACCAGAAATAAACCCATGCATTACATGGCCAATTGATCTTCAAAAAAGGTGCCAAAAATACACAACAGGAAAATAATAGCCTCTTCAACAAATACAAAGCATGAAAGTCAACTGTCATGTTACACTATACCCAAAAAATCATCTCAAAGTGGATGAAAGACTTAAATATAATATCTGAAAGTTAGAGACTCCTAGAAGAAGACATGGAGAAAAAGCTTCATAACACTGGTCATGACTTTTTCAATATGACCCCAAAAGCATAGGCTACAAGAACAAAAATGGGCAAGTTACATCAAACTACAATAAAAAGCTTCTGCAGAAAAAATAAAATAATAAGTAATAAACAGAATGAAAAAGCAATCTGAGAAATGGGAGAAATGTTTTCAGACCATAATTTGACAAGAGGTTAATATCCAAAATATATAAACAACTACATTGACTCATTAGCAAAAAGAAGAAGAAGAAGAAGAAGAAGAAGAAGAAGAAGAAGAAGAAGAAGAAGAAGGAAGAACAAAAAAGAAAAAACAAATACTTTGATTAAAAAATGGAAAAAAATTTTAAAATAGGTATTTCCAAAAAAGACACACAAATGGCCAATAGGCATATAAAAAGATACTCAGCATCACGAATCTTATATCTCAATAAAACTAAGTGGGAATAAAAGCCGATTTCATAAAAAAGAGACTAGAGCCCCGGTGCACAAAATTCATGCGGGGGGAGGGGGATGTCTCTCAGCCCAACCTGCACCTTCTCCAATCTGGGAAGCCTTGAAGGATGTCCAACTGCCTGTTTAGGCCCGATCCCGGTATCGAGCCTAAACGAGAAGTAGGACATCCCTCTCACAGTCCAGGACAGCTGGCTCCCAACTGCTCGCCTGCCTGCCTTCCTGATTGCCCCTAATGGCTTCTGCCTACCAGCCTGACCACCCTCTAAGCACTCCCCTGCCAGCCTGATTGATGCCTAACTGCTCCCCTGCCAGCCTGATTGCCCCTAACTGCCCTCCCCTAGAAAACTGGTCACCCCTAACTGCCCTCCCCTGCAGGCCTGGTCTCTCCCAACTGCCCTCTCCTGCTGGCCATCTTGTGGCAGCCATCTTGTGTCCACATGGGGGCAGCCATCTTGTGTGTTGGAGTGATGGTCAATTTGAATATTACCCTTTTATTAGATAGGATAGAGGCCTGGTGCATGGGTGGGGGCTGGCTGGTTTACCTTGAAGGGTATCCCAGATCAGGGTGGGGGTTCCCTTGGGGCGTGGGGTGGCCTGGGCAAGGGGACTATGGTGGTTTGCAGACTGAACACCCACCTCAGCGACCCAAGAGAAGGCCCTGGTATCTGGGATTTATTTATCTTCTATAATTGAAACTTTATAGCTGTAAGTAGAGGCCAGGGTCAGCCAGGGCGGGCGGGAAACTTGGCTTCCTCTATTGCTGGGGAAACCCAAGCCTCCTGCTTGCTCCAGCTTGGAGGCTGGCAGCCATCTTGGTTGGGTTAATTTGCATACCTGTTCCTGATTCGCTGCTGGGCGTGGCTTGGTGAAGCAGGGTGATGGTTAATTTGCATGCTACTCTTTTATTAGTGTAGATAAGTATCCACAAGAAAATAGGAATCTAGTGTTGAATTTAGCACTTGAGCCTGACTGACCTGAAGAAGAGAAACATTTGTTTTTCTAAAGACATGGCAGAGAAGTTATCTGTATTTTTGGTTATGTCATTGTGTTGTGGGGATGAAATCCAGAGTCTACAGTCCACCAAGAGTAGATGGCTTTAATTTTGATCCACAATGGACTGAACTACATTAATAAGGAAAAATATGAAGCAACCTAGAGCTCTGATGGACAGTAGTCCTGCTTAAATTCGTTAAGAAAGCCCAGAAAATAGTAAGCCCTAAATTTATGTTAAAACAATACCAGATTTCTAGTGTCCAAAGAAAGATACAGAAAAAAATTACTTGAAGGAACATACCGTCATCTTGGGCCTCAAATTTCTACATATAATATTAGAAAAACAAAGTCTAGTGTAAAATCAAGGGAAAAGCCAGACACATAAGGAAACAAGAAACTATGATCAAAAACCAGGACAGAACATTAGACAATAGAAGCAAATCCACAGGGACTGTAAATGCTGGAATTATCAGACACAGGGTGTAAAACAACTATGCCTAGAATGTAAAAGGAAATAAAATCCAAGCCAGAAATTTTTAAGCAAGGAATTCAACTCTATAATAGGGAACATAACAATTGGGGAAAGTACTAAATTGAATTTATAGAAATGGGAAAGTACAAAATGCAAAATTGAGCATATGGGTTTGTTTTTTAGATATATCTGAAAAGCTATTTGTGAACTAAAAGATGGGTAAGAAGAAACAATTCATATAAATTTGAAAAAAGATGGAAAATAAAGACAATACATAAAAGGTATAATAGAAGAATATCTAACATAATTTTAAATTGGAATCTCAGAGGGACAAGAAAAAGAGAATGTCGCAAAAGCCATCTTGCCCATAACTCATTCCCAAAATGAGTTAATACACATAAAGCCCTGAGGACAATGATAGACATATAAAATACTCAATAAATTCAAGATATTATTTATTCTATCTCATAATACTTCCCTGAAGCTTTAAAATATATATATTTTATTGATTTTTTACAAAGAGGAAGAGAGAGGAATAGAGAGTTAGAAACATCGATGAGAGAGAGTCATCGATCAGCTGCCTCTTGCACACCCCCTACTGGGGATGGGACCGCAACCAAGGTACATGCCCTTGACCTGAATCGAAACTGGGACCTTTCAGTCCGCAGGCTGATGCTCTATCTTTTGAGCCAAACCGGTTTCGGCCCTGATGCTTCTTTGATATCACATTTTCCCATGTTCAACAATACTTTGTTTCAGTATTTCTTAGTCATGTATCATGCCTCAAAATTGTGCAAAAGTTGGAGGAAGTGAAAACATTGGATGCTGTTGAAGTGAAAGGTCATAGGTTTGGGTGGAAAATGAGTTAAACCCAGGAGGTTGATAGATTGGGAGATTAGTACAGATTTGGGAACTAGGAGTCTCTATGAGGTCACAGAATAGCTTTGTATGCGAAGACAGAGTAAAAAGATAAGAGTTTGGAATTATAAAGTAAGATCTCTAAACATAAAACTTAGAGGTTGAAAGTATTAATGATGACCAGTCCCATGGAATAATCATTGTTGTAGTTTGCTGAATAAGAGTGAAGGTAAAATATTCCATTTATATAAAGCCTCATCGACAGGGACATTGATAACCACCCAAGATGAAAGAATAAATATAAGGCAAATGAATAAGCTCTTGATACAAAAGAATAAATTGACACCCATTAGATGATATACTATGATGGGTAACAAGTGTAAACAAAGTGGTAGCTCTGGGGGAAGTGGCAATTGGGGTGTGACAACAATGGGCTGACCAGAAAGAGATAGGAACACAATCTAGGTCTCTAAAGAAGAAAAGTTTGCACATGTAGCTTGGAGAGCCTGAGACACTGAATTATAAAATAGTACCCATGCAGTATGAGAGCTTTCAGGTATTCTATTGGCCCTTTTCTTTCTTTTTCTGCTTCCCTCCACTGATGCCTTCTCCATCAGGCAAAGGAGAGAGAAGGCACACATCAAAAAAGAGTCAAACTCTTTAATAGCCGAGTATCAACATGGGTAGACTGCAGTCCAGTCTGATGGATAAGGGAGCCTACATGAAGCTTAGCCTTTGGTTGGGGAAGGAAAGTTTGGTCTCAAAGTTTTGTAGATGAAGTGCTAGGAGTCCTGAAAGAAAGGGCATTCCAACACCCCTTGTAATGATTCCAGGTACATAGTATGACATCACGGGTATCCTCATCCTCTTTTTCACTCTTTGAGGAGATTTCATGAAAGCCTCAAGGCTTTCCTTAAATGCAGCATTTAGATGAGCAACGGCCAAAGTGCTCATTGTCTACAGTATCACTTGACCATTTCACCTTCTTGACTGGCTTCTCCTTCTGTTGAGTAGTTGAGAGTTTGCCATCCTTTACGTCATTTTCCTTTGTGACTGTGGGCTCTGAAACTGCCTCTGTTACCTTAGGTGTTGACTCTTCCATAGCAGAACTGCAAGGGGAACAAAGAAAGGGAGGCGAAACATCCAAAAAGCCTGGGGAAAATATGGGTCTGAATCCAAATCAGAGGCGGAATCAATATTTAGGATGCTATGTCTGGTTGTTGTTGTTTTTTTGGGTTATCTATCTATCTATCTATCTATCTATCTATTTACTTTGTGTGTGTGTGTGTGTGTGTGTGTGTGTGTGTGTGTATGTTTTGCCTTAGATTCTACAATTTCGAGTCGTGTGTGATCAAAATCAGATTGTAGAATCACAGAACAAAATTTATTTACCAGGGAAAATGAAGAAATGGCAGGGGGGAAAAGTTGGGTCAGTCTGGTTCAATATCCTGTCAAGTTATTTAAAATAGGTGACTATGAAAAAAAATTTAGAATGCTATGTCTGGTTGTTTGGGGGTTTATTTATTTATTTATTTTGTGTGTGTGTGTGTGTGTGTGTGTGTGTGTGTGTGTGTTTTGCCTTAGATTCCACAATTCTGAGTCATGTGTGATCAAAATCAGATTGTAGAATCACAGAACAAAATTTATTTACCAGGAAAAATGAAGAAATGGCAGGGGAGAAAAGCTAGGTAGGTCTGGTTCAATAACCTGTCAAGTTACATTTAAAATAGGTGACTTTATGAAAAAAATTAATTTTAAAAACAATAAAATATGTGACTTTATGAAGAATCTCTTAGGAAAACCAATCAGTGGATCTTCATTTATAGTTTTCTTTGAACAGTAACATACCACACACACACACACACACACACACACACACACACTTCCTCCTACATAAATCACACTCTACTTGAGTGTGGCGGTAGTCTACTATACATGCAGATGAGTGTTAAAGATAAAAATGGAAAATAATTCAGGTGACAGATTATGAAGGGAATTGGCATTTTATGCTGGAGGCCTCATAGAATCATTGGAATTTTACCAGCAAGGAGTATAATTTTTAGGTCTGTGTTTTTGAAAATTTTCACTATAGTAACAACGTGAAAGCAGAAAAATGAGTTTAGTTTTAAGATCAGCAGTCCACTTTGGAGGTCGGTAGTAATAACAGCAAGACTTAAAGTATAAACTAATGTACTAGCCCTGGTGGTAACATAAGGAAGACAGTTGTCACGACTCTTTCTCTGTTAAAAACAAGGAAAAAGATGGCTGCAGTCTAGGGAAGTTTGGTCCCCTTGCTCCCAGTACCAGACCAGACTTGTGGGTAAACTACAGAACATTTGACTTGAAAACCCAGCTGAAATATAGCTGATCTGAAATAATGTGAGCAGGGAGAACGGAGAGGAGACAGAAGACACAGAGTGGGCAAGCCAACTCGCACAGCACAGCACAGTACAGCACGGCTGGGAAAGAGGAGGAAAGATGAGGGAGCCCAGCTGCTGCCCTGTGGAAGCATGGGGCTTTTGCGTCCACCAGGAATCCCCAAAACAAAGCAACAGAGAAGAGAAGGGGAGCCCGTAGTATTGAGAAGTGGGGAACAGTAGTGATTTGGTTCACCTGAGAGACTTACACTGCACTATCTCAGGCAAAAAAAAAAAAAGTGAGTGCTTGAATACACCCCAACAGTGTCTGTAGGAGGGGCCACATACAGAACTCCAGACCAGCAGAGGGTTCTGAGAGGTTCACAGGGCAGTGAATCTGAGAGAGTCTGATTACTCTCTGAAATAACTTTTGGCAAAGAGCAGGATGGGGGCAGACAGAGTGCCCTATGAAAGAGGAGGGGTCCTCCCAACTCACGAAGAGGAGGAACCCCTTCACCCCAGTGGAATGGTTCTGAACTAGAAATATGCACCAGTATAGCTGGTTCTGGCTGGCTGCATGGGGGCGGGAGGAGGGGGAGATTGGATTGGAGGGAGCCTGGGCATAAGCCACACCCAGCAAGAGCGGTGATGCTGAAGATTGGAGAGCTAAGTGGGGAGGTCAATTAATGTTTGACAAAGGAGGCAAGAACATACCATGAAGTAAGGAAAGGCTCTTCAACAAATGGTGTCAGGAAAATTGGACAGGCACAGCAAAAGGATGAAACTAGCCCACCAACTTACACTATAAACGAGAACAAACTCAAAATAGATAAAAAATTAAATGTAAGTCACAAAACCATTAAACTCCTGGAAGAAACCATAGGCAGCAAAATCTCAGACATCTCACATAGCAGAATTTTTGCTGCTACATCTCCTAGGACAAGGGAAACAGAAATACACACACACACACACACACACACACACACACAAATGGGACTAAATCAAACTAATAAACTTCTGCACAGCAAAAGAAACCATCACCAAAATGAAAAGGTAACCCACAGTATGGGAGAACATATTCGCCAATGAGACATCAGAAAAGGGATTAATTTTTTAAAAATATAAAGAATTCATACACCTTAACAAAAGGAAAACAAACAATTCAAGGAGAAAGTGGGCAAAGGACCTGGAAGAACACTCTCCAAAGAAGACATACAGATAGCCAGTAGACATGTGAAAATAAATGCTCGATGTCATTAAGCATCTGAGAGATACAAATTAAGATGACAATGAGTTATCACCTCACACCTGCCAGAATGGCTATCATCAATAAATCAACAAATGTTGGTGATAATGTGGAGAAAAGGAAACCTAGTACACTGATGGTGGGAATGCAGACTGATGCAGCCACTAATGGATATAGCATGGCACCTCAAAAAATTAAAAATGGAACTGCTGTTTAACCTAGCTATCCAACTCCTGGGAATATACCCTAATAATCTTGAAGCACCAATCAGAAAGAATATATGCAACCTTATGTTCATAGCAGTGTTACTTATAATAGCTAAGATCTAGCAACACTCCGAGTGTCCATCAGCAGATGAGTGGATAATAAAGCTGTGGTTCATTTACACAATGAAATACTATGCAGTTGTAAAAAAGAAGTATCTCTTACCCCTTGCATTGTATGGACCTGGAGAAAATTATGCTAAGTGAAATAAGCCAGTCAAAGACAAATATCACTTACATGTGGAATCTAATGAACAAAATAAACTGATGAACAAAATAGATCCAGAGGCATGAAGGCATGGAACATACTGACAGACCTCAGAGGAAAGGGGGCAGGAGGAGATGAACCAAAGAACTTATATGCATATATGCACAACTCACGGATACAGACAATAGTGGTGAAATCCTGGGGTGGAGTGGGAGTCAGGTGGTGGGGGGAATAAGAGGGGAAAATAGGAGACATTTGTAATAATGTCAACAATAAAAAATAAATGTAAAAAAATAAAATCTATATACTGTATATAAAAAGGCAGTGACCGTAATGACTAAAGGATCAACTGAACACTGGAAGTCAGTCCTGCAGTCAGTGCTGGATTGCCATGGTGAGAGAGGCCTGGAAAGAGAAGCAGGGTCTGATCCATAGCCTCCTTGGCAGCTGTTGATCAGCATTTGCCTCTCTCTTTCTCTCTGGGATGGCCATCAGCATGCCTCTCTTTCTCTCAGGGCCTCTATGGGGGCTGCTGATCAGCCCCACCTCTCTTATCAGGCTCAGAGATAGGCCCAGAACCTCTGACTGGCATAGAAACTGACCAATCAGAACCAAATCTGGGTGAATTATGAGGAGCCAATGTCTGCCTAGAAGGTGGAGCTTTTGACACTGGTTGGCATAGAAACCAACCAATCAGAACCAAATCTGGCTGAACTGCAAAGGCAGAACCTAAGGTGGGGGCTGAGGAGGAGTTTCAAGGCAGTTGGGGGTGATATCAGGCCAGCAGGGGAGGTAGTTAGGGGTGATCAGGCAGGCAGGCAGAAGCAGTTAGGAATGGTTGGGCAGGCAGGCAAAGGGTTAGGGGTAATCAGGAAGGTAGGAAGAGGCAGTTAATGGCAATCAGGCAAGCAGACTGGTGAGTGGTTTGGAGCCAGTGGTCCCTGATTTCGAGAGGGATGTCTGATTGGAGAGGGTGCAAGCTGGGCTGAGGGAACTCCCCACGTGCATGAATTTTGTGAACGAGGCCACTAGTCCTATGTAATAAATCCTATCTAATAAAAGAGCAATATGCAAATTGACCATCACTTCAACACATAAGATTGCTGCCCCCATGTGGTCAAAGATGGCCACCCCCATGTGGACACAAGATGGCTGCCACAAGATGGCCACAGGGGAGGGTAGTTGTGGGCCATCAGGCCAGCAGGTGAAGGCAGTTGGGAGGGACCAGGCTTGCAAGGGAGGGCAGTTGGAGGTGATCAGGCCAGCAGAAGAGGGCAGTTGGGGACAACCAGGCCTGCAGGGGTGGGCAGTTAGGAGCAATCAGGCTGGCAGGGGAGCAGTTAGGTGTTGATCAGGCTGGCAGGGGAGTGGTTAGAGGGTGATCAGGCTGGCAGGCAGAAATGGTTAGGGGCAATCAGCCAGGCAGGCAGGCAGGCAGGCAGGCAGGCGAGTGGTTAGGAGCAAGCAGTCCTGGATTATGAGAGGGCAGCAGGCTGAGGTTAGGGACACTCCCCCTGGTGCACAGATTTTGTGCACTGGGCCTCTAGTCATCAAAATAAAAGGCTAAGATACAAATGGTTGTCATGCCACGAAGCTGTAATGCTGTAACACTGTGATGCCTTAAGGACTGATCAGTAGGGACTTGAGGCTGTGTGGCGCTGGGCTGAGGCCAGGGGACCTGAGACCATCCTACCCATTTTGACACTGGGATCATGGGACCAGAGGCCATGCCCCCCCCCAAAGCCATGCCCCCTACCCTGGTGCTGGGGCCCGGGGACCTAAGGCCACACCCCCTGAGGCTGCATTCCCTACCCCAGTGCCAAGGCAGGGGGACCTGAGGCCATGCCTCTCCTGAGGCCACACCCCTTGAGGCTGAGTGGGGTTTGATAGGAGTGGGGCCAGCTGGGTCTTGGTATCGCCTAATGAGAGTGGGGCCAACTGGACACTTCTATTACAGAGAAAGGGCAAATAGCAATATTAAAATATTTCCTATAATTAATTCCCGTTTAATGTGCACAAATTTTGTGCACTGTGCCACTAGTAAAAGTATAGAAAACCTTTGATATTATGGTGGTCATGAGTGAGAAGGTAAGCAGAATTAAATCCCACATGGTCAGGGAAGAAGCCTGAACAAGGGAGTTTAACAGAGAACAAACCAATAGCCCAGAAGACAGTTATACCTATAGATGGCCTCTTTTACACACATACCCCTGTGATGGCAGACTCCATGTGGTCTTTCTGGTCTTATTTGAGTCCTCCATCCTTAGGAGACCTGCCTTGCTGTTGCCTTTTATTATGCCTGTCTCCATGACACCAGGGAGTCACAAAGGAGGGTGTGTTTCCATCTCCTAGGAGACCTGACTGAGTAGTAAGTGGACTTGAAAAATACTGCTCCCCACAGCTCCTTGTCTATTGAGGAATCCAGATATCTAATTAACTAATATTGGAGCTAGGAGTTCGAAATTCTTATCAGTGTGTGGCTGGCTAGAGAATTTCCTTTCCACTTTGGATGTGCCTACTAGATTTGTTGTTATCAAATTTTGATGTACATTAGAATCCCTTAAGAAACTTGCTTAAAATACAGATCCTGGAATCCAACCCAAGAAGACAAAAAAGGAGGAGGAAGGGAAGGAGAAAGAGAAAGATAGAAATGGGTATAAAAATGGTAATAAATAAGTACCTTTTAACAATAACCTTCCATGGAAATGGATGAAATGCTCCAAAAGACATAGGGTAGCTGAATGGATAAGAAAACATAACCCATATATATAGCTGCCTACAAGTTACCCACCTCATGACAAAAAATTCACATAAGCGTAAATTGAAAGGATGGAAAAAATATTCCATGCAAATGAGTAAAAGGCTGCGGTGGCAATACTTGCATCCGAAAAAAAAATAGACTTCAAAATAAAGGCCATAACAAGAGACAAAGAAAGTCACTGCATAATATTAAATGAATCAGTCCAATAAGAGGAAATAACCCTTATAAACATATATACACCAAATATAGGAGCATCTAAATATATAAAGAAAACTCTTGGTGGAGTTGAAGGGAGAGATTAACAGCAATATAGTCATAGTAGGTGTCTTTAATAATCCACTATTATCACTTGTAAGATATTCCAAACAAAAAAATCAACAAGGCAACAGTGACCTTAAGTGATACATTAGATCAAATGGACTTAATAAAAATGTACAGAACATTTCATACAAAAGCTGCACAATATACATTCTTCTCAAGTGCACATGAAATATTCCTAAAGATAGACCACATGTTATGACACAAAATATGTCAACAAATTCAAGAAGATTTACATTATATCAAGCATCTTGAATCACAATGGCATGAAACTAGAAATAAACTAAAAAAAAACAAAAAAAAAACAAAAAACCACAAAACAAGCCTCCAAAAACATTCAAACACATGGAAACTAAATATCATATTATTTAACAATGAATGGGTAACCAAATAAGATCAAGGAAGCAATAAAAAATTACCCGAAAACAAATAAAAAGAACACAAACAATTGAAAATGTATGGTAAAGAGCAAAAGCAGTCCTGAGAGGGAAGTTCATAGCATTACAAGCCTACTTCAAGAAGCAAGAAGCATCTCATATAAATAATCTAACCATACACCTCAAAGAACCGGAAAAAGAACAATAAACAAAACCCAGAGTAAATAGAAGGAAGGAAATAATAAAGATCATAGGGGAAATCAATGACATAGAGACTAAAACAAAAAACAAAAAAAAACCCACAATACAAAAGACTAATGAAACCAACAGCTGGTTCTTTGAAAAGATAAACAAGATTTATGAACCTTTAATCAGATGAAACAAGAAAAAAAGAGACGATCCAAATCAATAAAATCAGAAAAGAAAGAGGAGTGGTAACAACTGGCTGCACAGAAGTACAAAGGGTTGTAAGAAAATACTATGAACAACTATACGCCAACAAATTGGACAACCTGGGTGAAGTGGACAACTTCCTGGAAACATACAAAGACTTAATTGTAATTCCCAAAATCATAAAAATTATAGTCAGTAAAATCTCAGACATCTTTCATAGCAAAATGTTAACGATAAATTTCCCAGGGCAAGGGAAATAAAGGGAAAAATAAACAAATGAGACTACATCAAACTAAAAAGCTTCTGCTAAACAAAAGAAACTATCAACAAAATGAAAAGGGATCTCACCATATTTGCCAATGATACATAAGATAAGGGGTTAACTTTTAAAATACTGTATATAAAGAATTTATACAACTCAACACCAGGAAGACAAACAATTCAATTAGAAAATGGGCAAAGGACCTGAATAGACACTTCTCCAAAGAGGACATACAGATAGTCAATAGACATATAAAAAATCCTCAAAGTCACTAATCACCGGAGAGATGCAAATTAGAACCACAATGAGATATCACTTCACCACCTGTCGGAATGGCTACCATCAACAAAACAACAATCAACAAGTGCTGGCGAGGATGTGGAGAAAAGGGAACCCTAGTACACTGTTGGTGGGAATGCAGACTGGTACCCCCCCCCCCCACCTACATATGGCTCTGTGATTAATAGACATTGAGTCAATGTCTACTACAAAATGCTGGGGTAGTAGACATCTATGTAGTGTTTGCTACATGTATAGTAAATATAAAGGACATTGATGCTGTCTTGGATATTCTTTTCTATTACAGCTTCATGGTAAGAGATAGCCTTGTTAGGAACTAAACATAAGGCTAAAAAGTCCACAAGCACACATAGACTGGCTATACATTCTTCCAATGGGACTACTGGGCAGGGTGCACAATTATCACATTCAGACCAGTAATTTTAGCTCAAGTCAGCTAGGATGACAGCTCCCCCAGGTGTCAGTCATCATGAGGAGTTTCCCTTATTACGCAGTACAGCAAAACAAGGAAATTGATTAACTCAATATGACAAGGCAATGAAAGAGAGTTCTGGACATCCAACAATCTTTCTCCTTTCTTTCTTTCTTTTTTTTTTTTTTAAATATATTTTATTGATTTTTTACAGAGAGGAAAGTAGAGGGACAGAGAGCTAGAAACATCGATGAGAGAGAAACATCGACCAGCTGCCTCCTGCTCACCCCCTATTGGGGATGTGCCCGCAACCAAGGTACATGCCCTTGACTGGAATCGAACCCGGGACCTTTCAGCCTGCAGACCAACACTCTATCCACTGAGCCAAACCAGTTTTGGCTCTTTCTCCTTTCTTAATGATCACTGTAACTGTCCCGTAAAAACTTTTGCTTCAGAAGTAGAGTGCCAGCCCAATGACCAAAAACCATAGATGTGGTATAGTTCTTGTGTTCTCCCAGACTGACTTTGCTACACAGCAACATGTAATGCCATTATACATGCTCAGCTTATTGAACTCACCTGGACTTTATTAATAGATATATGGTTCAGTTAACATGTAGAAAATGATGACAGTGTTGTGCATTATAACGATTTCTGAGGTATAACAACTGTTTCAAAGGAAGACAGGAAGACTGAAACTTGTGGACAATGGGATCTCAAAAGCCATAAATGGCAGGATGTGGGGATGTGGTTGAGAAAATGATGCCTAAGGCCAAGACAAAAGATAAGAGAGCATATGATAAATATGTCTAACCTTAAAAACTTTGCAGTTTGGAAAAGTCACAGTGTAGGGTGAGTGAAAACTGTTGGTCGAGATAGTCCCTCGGTGGTCAATATTTAAAGGGCCATGCCTCAAAAAACAAACAAACAAACAAACAAACAAAACAAACCCAAAAACCACAAAACAAACCTCCAAAAACATTCAAACACATGGAAACTAAATATCATATTATTTAACATTGAATGGGTAACCAAATCAGTTCAAGGAAGCAATAAAAGCAAGGTTTTTAGATGTAGTGAAACTGCAAAAAATGCTTTCTAAAGAAACATCAAAGTCCTTCTTAAAGGACTTTGGGACTATTATCAAATGGGCTTGTTATGAAATTCTTCCTGCATCACTTTAATTACCAGGAAGGAAGGTACATATGTTAGAACTATTCAAAACTCACCAATCTTCCCAATAACGCTATCTATACTGATTTCCACCCTACCCCCAGCCCCGTTTGATTCAGGATGGAATCAAGGATCTCTTGTTGCGTTTAGTTGTCGTGATTCTTTAGCATCTTTTAATTTGTAGCAGTTTCCAAGCCTGTTGTTTTCTTGTGCTTTGACTTGGTCTTTCCTGATATATTGATAGCACCATAATAATATTGATATTTTACAGCAAGCATGTCAAACTCGCGGCCTGGGGGCTGCATGAGACCCACAACGAATATTTGTGGGGCCCAGCCAATATAACGATATGTAAGAAACGTTTTAATAAAAATTTCATAACTTAATTTTTACAATATCCTGTTATACATAATTATTAATAACAAACTACAATGTTCGCTAAAGACTGATGACTATAATCGTGGTGCATTCATTTCCCTTACGCACCTTAGGCGCAGGCGCACCATTTCTCTCCACTAATACCAGCAGCGAATATTTTAACAGCCCTTTGCCACCTCATTAGTCTTGGACTGACTTGTTTGGTGTGTGCAACAGGAAATATTTCGCTTTCCGAGAACAATAAAAATAGGTTTATTTGCATTACGTTTATTAATTTGTGCAGTTATTCAGTGTCGGTAAGTTAATGTTCAAGAAAAAAATATTAATTTTATTAAACTGTTCTATTATTTTATGTAAATGATGACTCATGTATTTCAGCTCTTTGTATTCAGCATGTCTCTATCGAAATAAACCTATGTTTCTATGAAAATGGAAGCTTTCGTTTTTTTGTGGCCCACATAAACTTCAACCTTGGTTATTTGGCCCGTGTTAGCCTTTGAGTTTGACATGCTTGTTTTACAGGATTATGGTTCCTTATGGACAAAAAAATTCTAAATAACAAAAAAGGATATTAAAAAGATTAAAAATGGATGCCACTTTTTGCAAAACTAGATATGGTTTGTTATACGTTGCAATTACATTCAAGAATAACTCTCAAAGCTTAAGCCTTGTTTTTCCAAAATTAGGTCTTCCAATCTAAAAGAAATCTATCCTTGCTTTCAGGAAACTCTTACTATGGGGATTTCTGAGTATGTGTATACAAAGAATTATGTCTGTGTGCTGTGATTGGGTAGAGATATTTAATTGGGATTATGCGTTTGCTAATATGCACATCTGTAAATATCTAGAGGAAATGTACATATGTATGCACCTACATATATTTGTGC